ATTATAAATCAGAACTTTTAGGGTTGTATTATATTAAATTCAATATTTCAATGAGGCTGATAAAGAAGCTACTTCAATTTAAGACTATGTCAGTAGGAGCATCATGACCAGAAACTAAAGAGATACTTCACGATAAATCTTGAGGCAAAATTGAAAGCATTGTCAGTATTGTTCTTAAATACTGGTAGTAAATATGCAGTAAATAAGATTAGAAACTTGAAACTTTGAAAATGGAAGGAAGTTTAAATATGATTTCAAATATATGAAGAATTATTAGTAGAATAGAAATTATAACACTGCATGGTTCTTGAAGAAATAATAAGCCAAATCAACAAGGGGAAATTATAGCTCTATAATAAAAACGGATTTGACTACTTCATACTGATTAACTTTCTGTCAATGGATCTGTGCAAGACAAAGTTAGGACAGAGAAGTAAGTGGTCCTGGGGATCCACATGTGAATTCATTTAGGTTTTATTTACCAGACCCACAAATTTTCTATTTATATATGTCAAGCACTACTTCAGTTGGCCACTCACTTATTTTTTCTTAATAATACTACTAATTAAACAAAGTCATAGATCTTTAGCTACTATTCCATGTTTGTAGCTGAAGTATACATCATATACTATGCTTTTCTAATAATTAAGGTCACAATGTGATTAAGTACACAATCTCTGCTACTTAGAGATTCTGTTCTTTCAATAAAAAACACAGAACCTCTTTCTATTGTGATTCTCACAGTGTTCTTGTCTACAAAGGACAGCCACAAAGTTTTCATGCAAAGATGCTGTGAATGTTCTAATATTAGCTACTTTTTGTTGCTGTGATAAAACACCATGACCAAAACCAACTTATGGAGGAGTTTGTTTTGGTTTATGGTTCCAGAGTGAGAATCCATAATGACTATAGAAGCATGTTGGAAGGAGAGGCCAGAGCAGGAAGCTCAAAGGTCACATCTTCAGTCACATTAAGAAAAGCAGAGAGTAACCTGCAATAAGGGTGAGGCTATAAACTCTCAAAGTAACATACTTCGTCCAAACAGTGCTCTGCCTCCTAACACTGCTCTACCTCAACACACAGCACCTCCAACCAGGGACCAGTTGTTCAAATATTTGAGCCTATGGGGGGATATTTCTCATTCAAACCACCACATTCCACTCCCCAGACCCGATAGACTGGCCCTCATGGGCTGGACCCCATAGGTTGTCATACCACACTGAAAAATCGAAGTCCAACCTTAAAAGTCTCAATAGTTTTCCACAGTCTCAACACTGTTCAAAAGTCCAAAGATGCTTTTGAGACCCAAGCAATCTTTTAATTATTACCTTCTGTAAATTCCAAAAGCAAATCACATACTTGCAATATACAATGACACAGAATATATATTCCAATTTCCAAAGGAATGAATTAGGGGGAGTAGTATGTGGTTGTCTGAATGAGAATGTCCCCCATAAACTCCAGGTACTCATTTTGTCCCCAGTAGGTTGCTCTGTTTTGGGAGACCTTAGAAGGTGTGGCTATCCTGGAGGAAGCACATCATTGGGGGTGGGCTTAGGGAGTTCATAAACCTCGCTGGATCTCCAGTCTCTGCTCTGCTTTCTGTACCTGCTTGAAGATGTGAGAGCTCAGCTTCTGCTTCTAGTCCAGCCATCCCTGCTGCCATATTTCCCTGCCATGATGGTCTCTTGCCCCTTTGGAAATGTAAGCTAAATAAACTCTTTTATAAGTTTCCCTTGGTCATGGTTTTTCTGTCACAGCAATAGAAAAGTAACTAATACACAGGGAATAGTTAGGAGCTACTGGACCAAACCAAAACAGAAACCAGCAGGGCAAATACCAAATTCTATAGTCCATGTCTAGTGTCTAGGACCTTGGCTTCAAAGGGTCAGCCCCTCCAGCCCTGCTGCCTGCAACATACATCTCTCTTGGACTGGTTCCACTCCCTGTATACAGCTCTCCTTATCAAATGTCTCATGGATATGGAATTTCTAATATCTTGGGGTCTCCAGTACAATCAAGGCTTCACTTTGTCAGTTTCATGCATTGGCTTCTCAGAGCCTACTGCTCTCTCAGAGCCTTCACACAGAGACCGTCCTGTCACACACTGTCTGGTCTCATTGGCTCTATAAACTGCAGAGGAAGAATCCATGACCCCATCACTCTTGCATTTCATGTCTCCAAAGCCAGTACCAAACAGACAACACTGAGAAGTTCAGCTGCCAGTTTGGGATGGATCTTTGTTCCTTTCAACCATATTAGCAGAAGCTTTCCTACATTGAAACAAATGCTTTCAAGGAGAAAGTAACCCCTAAGGCTTTGAATTTTTACAAACTGAAATCTTAGTTGAATAAAGTCAGGGCAGCCTTTCCATTGTCCCCTTGAAGAGCAGAGGCCTCTCCTTATGTTACTAACGTCCGTAACAGTTACAGTCTATTTTAGCACATGCTTTGGTTGTAATGTTAAGCTCCTACTACTCTTTTTCTCCCCAAACTTTACATTTTGTATATCTTTTTCACTTGCTCCTTTTCATTTTAGACCTGCATAAGATTGACAATAACAACCATGCCACAGACTCAAAGTTATGATGCATTAAAATTTCTTCTTTTTAAGAAATTAAGCCATTACTTTTCAATTCAGTCTCATGTAAATTCTCAATACATGGCCAGAGAAAAGTCAGAGTCTGTGCCAAAATATTACATGAATGGCCTCTGGTCCAGTTGTTGATACAGTCTTTGCTCTCCTCTGAAGCATCCTGACCTGGGACTCCACCATCCAAATTACTCAGTGTTATTGTCGTACAAGCTCCCTGTAGAACAGCCCACTAAACTCTGCTTAAAGTATTGGCTGCAAAGTGAGCTTGAGGCTAGCCTAGAATAAACAGAAAGACCCTGAAAAAAAAAAAAAAAAAAAAAAAAAAGAAAAAGAAAAATCACATTGTCAGGTGCTTAAAAGCAATACTCTATTTTTCTGGTGCAAACTTTTATATTACCTATTTTCTGTTTCTGTAATAAATCTAAATGACCAAAAAGTGACTTACGGAAGAGTTTATTTTGGCTTATGCTTCCAGAATATGATTCCATAATGGAGGGCGAGGCATGCTGGCAAGTGACTGAAGAAGTAAGATCAGAGAGCTCATCTTTAACCACATGCAGTAAAGCAGAGAATGAACTGGAAGTGAGGTGAGACTATAAACTCTCAAAGGTCACCCTCAATGATGTCTTTCCATTAGCAAGCCTATGCCTTCTAAACCTTCCTTAACATCCCCAAATACCACTACCAACCGTGGAGCAATGTTCAAATATATTAGTCCACAGGGGATGTTTCTTATTCACTACTGTAGTTTTCTTGACCTCATTTGGGAAATACTTAAAGGAAGATGTCAGGATCACTCATGAGGACACATTCCAGCATTCCCTTCTTCCTTAGCCTACAACATGCCAAGGTTTTTCCAATATTAATTCCTCATTGATTTCAGGTCTTTGTTGAGTCCATGATTTTTAAATTGTATGTGTTTACAATATGCAAAACATGTCAGATATGTATAATTCTAAAATGGCTAAGCTAATCAATGAACAATTCCATTTCTCAACTAATTCTGTTGAAATGAAAACATTTAGTGTCTACTCCTATGAAGTTTTAAGTACACGATAAATGGCTGATTTAAAATATAGCTACCATGTTGTAAAATTTATTTCCTGAACTTTTCTTCCTATATAACTTAAAATTTTTATCAATGATGCGCCTTCTCATCCTCCCATAGTCCTCGCCCCTGTTAACTATCATTTCACTCTCAACTTCTTTGAGTTTTGAGCACTATATGTAAGTACAATTTTGCTGTAGTTGTCTTTTTATTCTTGGTTTATCTCATTTAATATCTTCAAGAGCTGTTCAAATGTCGCAGCAGGATTTCCTTCTTTTTAAGGACTGAATAGGATCCCATTGCTTGTATTTATTTGATTTGTCCATTTACTCAACAATCAACATTAGGTTGCTTCCTTATGTTGACTACTATGAATGTGGCTGCAAGGAACACAGTACGGGGATAAGCCTTACCCACATTCTTTCCTTTGGGTTGCATGATATTTTTACTTTTCACTTCGAAGCAGCTCCATACTCTTAGAGACTTAGTTTCCCAATTTGCATTCTCACCAAAGATTTCCTTTGTGCTGTATCTTCTCCCGTGCTTGGTGTCCTTTGCCTTTTTCACAGTAGCTGTCCTGTCTAGGTATAAGTTGAAGTTCCTTGATTAGACATGATGAGCATTTATTTTTCGTACATCTGTCAGCCATTTGTGTTGCTTTTGAGAAATTTTGATTCAAGTAATTTGCTTATTTTTTTAATTCAGTAATAATTTCATTATAATTGGATTATTTGTGTTACTTCTGTATTTTGGACATTAATTCCTTACTGAATATATACATTACAAGTAGAATATTTTAATCCACAGGATCTCTTTTCAGTCTGTAGATTGTTTCCTTTGCCATACAGGAGAATTTTAAATTTTATAATCTGACAAGTTGATTTTTGTTTGCTATGTTTTCATATCTATATCATATATGTACATACATATGTCACTAGCCAGGTGAAGTGTATCAGTCTCAAAAATAAAATATTTATGCACCAATTTTTAAATGTATAAAAATATGATAAGACCATAAAATTCTGACGGAAGAGTAAAATAAAAACTAAATCAATGGAGATACATTCTAAGTCAATAGAAATGTTGATATACATTGTTGATAATGTTGCTATACATTATCAAGAATTTTTTTCTTCCCAGCTTGGTCTATAAAATATCACAATCTGAATTAAAATTTAATAATTTATTTCTAAAAATTGATTCTAAATCTTGGGTGGGAAGACATAGATTGGGACTTTCCAACACACCACTGAACAGAGAGAAGAAACAGAGAACTGACATTACCTGACCTCCAGGCTTATTATAAACCTGCAGAAATTAAGAAAATGTAATATTAGCAAAAGAATAGACAGAGATAGTGCTCACTTCGGCAGCACATGTACTGAAATTGGAATGATACAGAGATTAGCATGGTCCCTGAGCAAGGATGGCACGCAATTTTGTGAAGCATTCTATATTAAAAAAGAAGAAGAATAGACAGAGACCATAGAACAAAAGTAAGAGACTGAGCTTATATGCACATGAATACAGCCCAAGTTATGGATATCAGCAAATGCTATGCAGATGAAGAGTAACAGTACATCTCATTCATCATTGGTGGGAATGAAAAGTAGGAGCCAATTTGACAAGACAGTTTTGACAGTTTTCACAATTGTAAACCTCCTCTTACCATAGGACCCAGCAGCTACATTTTAAAACATTGAAAAGTTATATGCAGTCATAATACTGCCCATGGAAATTCATAGCAGTTTTGTTCATAATTAACAAACTGAGATGTCCTTCAGATGCAGTTATAGACAATTTTCATGCACGAAAATAATATTATAGCTATCATTTAGTGCTAACAAGAAATAAGTTATCAAGGCATGAAAAGGAGTAGAGAAACCTTAACATATCACTAAGTGAAAGAAGCAGATATGAAAAACCAACATACTGGATGTTCCAACTTTGTGACATTCTGAAAAAAGCATAGCAGAGACAGTGAAAAGATCAGTGCTTGACAGAGCTAGATGGGTGGAAAGGATGATTCTGCTGAGCGCAGATGATTTTTGAGGCTGTGTAATGGCTCTATATGACCACATAACTGTGTGGGCATGTCATCATGTATTTGTCGATATCGATAGAGTGTCCTTCAGCAAGAGAGAACTCTAATTCAAGCTATGGAATTGGACTTGTGACAATTATAGGTCAACAAAGGCTTATTAGTTGTAAAAACTGTATCATTTTGTTGTGGTCTATTATGTTGATAGTAGAGAAATCTATGAATTAATGGGGGGAGGTAAAAAGAGTATTGGAACTCTATTTCCACTTATTTTACTGTAAACAAAATGCTCAAAAAAAAAAAAAAGCACAATTACTGTTGCTTCCATTGTAAACGTGACTAGGTGCCACTTCCATTTATCACAGGGGTCTATTGAACAATCTGTCCTGCTTCAGTTTTCTTTATCATAACTGGAAACCACATACTTTAATTTTGATGATCTCTATTTGGGGGCTAGCCTACGATTACAGGATCAATCACAACTTTAGCAGGAAATATGCTGTACTTTCAAAAGTGAGGAGTGGAATTATTGTAAGTATTGGGAATGTTCATAAAGACATGGTCATGTTTAAGAAAAATCAACAAGGGATAAGGAGGAATCACATAGGTCTACAAGAGCAGGAAGTTATAGCATTTCCACATTTACCTCAAAGAGGAAATCAGTGTTTCCTTTTGTAAAAACATCTTAAAGCCTATCACTATAGAAGAGATCTCCTTAACTGTCTCTGTGTCCTTGGGTAGAGATTGGAGAAAAAAAATGTTAAGTCACCTTATTTCCTTTTCTTCTCATTCTGTAGCCTCTTTGTGGACTCTTCCCCAAATTCAAATACTGCCAAAGAACAAACAATTCTGTAAGGTCCTATAAAGCATTCCCCTGGCAGGTATGTCCAGCATGCCATACAGAACAGCTATGAATGGGTATAACATAATTAGAAAACAACATCATGTAAGAATATCAGTTAGGTAGCCCTGCAAGCTAAGGCTAGGGCTAATCTAGTACTCATTGGCATTGACCTTTATCTCCTAAAGATACCTTATGTTATTCTACCACCAATGGCACCAGTGTAGTTCAATGTTAAAACTTTTTCTTATCTTCATTATTTTATAGATCTCCCTGGAGCATGTCTGGTATCTCCAGCTATGTAAACAAAAAATTAAGTGATATTTTAAAAGTCTGAAAGTGGGAGCACATTCTTCCCCTGCGTGGAAATTTTCAGGTGGTTTTCATTGTTAACATTTCACATTTTTAAATAGCTTATTTATTATTTTTATTTTATGTGTATGAGTGTATTGCCTGCATGTATGTGAGTGCACCCATGTCTTGCAATGCTGCAGAGGTCAGAAGATGGCGATGGACTCCCCTGGAACTGGAGTTAAGGATGGTTCATAGCTGCCATGTGGGTGCTGGGAATCTGACCCAGGTCCTCTGCAAGAGCAGCCAGCTCTTAACCACTGCGCCTCTCTCCAGCCCCAACATTTCACATTTTAAGGATAAAATAAAAATGAAAGAATTCTTCACAAGAATTGATCTGCTGTCTGTTAACAACCCTGGCTTTATTTCATCCCTTAATTATTGTCCCATGTAGCCATATCTCTACTAGTTTACTTAATACATCTGCCTGCCCAGCTTTGGGCCTTTAAACAAGTTTCTCTCTTTGTCTTGAAAAATATCCTTGCTCACCTGAACTCATCCACTCAATTCCTGCTTACATGTCAGATGTCAATATTGATTAGGAAATTTTCCATCATTTCTGAATAAGAAGGATCTGTTGTAAGACTCCTCCCAGCCCCATGTAGTCCTCCTTTCAATTACATTTATCAAAGCTTAAAAACTTAGAATTATTAATCATCAGACTATATTTTTAAGTCACTATGATATCAAGTGGTATATTAGTAACTTTTATATTTTAGTCTAAAGTGAGTTAGGAATTGAGGTAGAATGTGTTAGATTATGTGGGGTTAAATGTATTCTTTGTTGAAGTGTTCAAATGACTAAAAAAAAATTTTTTGATTCCATCATCTCATATAAGTCCAACTTTTTTTAACCAAATCACAACCCAGCAGTTCCTCAGCATATTACACTTAAAAAAAAAAATCCAGTGGGAAAGTAAGATCTTGACCAATAGGAAAGAAGACCTATGATAAGACAATGAATCAATGTTCTTGCTCTACAAGCTCCAGCCAAGATCTCTGCACATTCCCTTACTTCCAAATCTGTAGAGTATGTGTACATGTGTAAGGTAGACTGACAGACTCACTATATGCAATTCTACACCTGTTTAACACATTACTAAAAACTTGATGATTGAATACAACATAATTTTTTTCTCAGCAGTTTCAAAGGTCAGAAGTCTGACATGTATTGCACCAGACCAAAGTCAAGGTGACATTAGATCTGTGGTTCCCATACGCATATATGCTCCATAGGGCTTATGTTCTCCTGGTATTTTCAGGCTCCTTGCAGTTGCTTCTGGTCCCTTCCTCGATCTTCAAGGCTAGCAGTAGAACACGTTGCTTTATGGTTTTCTCTCTCTTAAAATCCTCCCCTCTGCCTTATTCTAGATGCATCCTTTGGTATACTTAGAACCCACAGGATTATTCCCCAAAATAACATCTCATCACAAAATATTTCCTTAATTACATCTGCCAAGTTCCTTTTTCCCATTTAAAGTAACATTCACAGGCTAGACCCTGTGACTGGGGGGATTCATTCTGCATAGCACACATTAAAATCTGGGTCCTTTGGTGAGGCCAAAAGGAGACTGAAAATAACGGATGCATAGAATCATTGTTTCCTGCAATTTCAATTTGTTGTTTAAGGTATCAAACATTCATTTCTGAGTCTAATCAACAATTATTTGTGTAGCCCTACTGTGACACAGAGAACTGCATTAGTAGAGTGAGAGGTGAAAAGTGTTAAGGAAAACACATTACTGAAGGACAGTAACTGTGCTCTCCAAGGTCCCATAGCAGCAATAAACATAGAAAGTTCTATCTTTACACAGCGTTTATCTATACAGGCCTGAAGTCTGTTCAATGAATTCTTATTCATCCAAATTCTAGGGTACTTTTAGCTTCACCAAATTTACAATATAAGAAATATTTCTCTTTGGTTGGATAAATCTTGAACAACACTAGAATTTACTGTATCTTACAAAGAAGGGAAAATTCATGTGATTGTGTCAATAATCTAAGATAAGCAAGCCAGAACAAAGTTTAAATTACTTAAACCTTTCAAGAAAACATATATTTTGCCCCAATTAAATAGGTAATTGATTTAATTCTCCCCTTCATTTAGCTAGGGATGAATTAACCTGAAACCAAATGTTGCAAATTAAATGTTCTAACTAATGGAAACCTGGAATTACAATGCACAAAAGTTTAGGGAACACATCTATAGCAATCTACTTAACACTCTTTAAAATTCTTCACCTGTTTAAACATTCTTAATAAATGATAATAATAACAGCTGTAATAATGCAGAATGTTCTTTTTGTTAATGATTGGGAGGAATTTTCTTCCTTTACGTGCATGACAAATGTCATCCAACTCAGTAATTTGTCATTTTTATACTTTTAAACCTAATTGATTAAAATAAAATGATTTTCAAACTTCTGACCACTTAGGTGTGCCTATCTAGGCATTTGTACTTCAGTGCTACATGATTTCGCTTGTATTAACAGTTCCCTACTTAACATGATGGATTTTTGTGATTTCTGAGTCCTTAGAGGTAATTTAAAATTTGTAGCATCATGTCATTTCACTGAAATTCTCCTCTGTGTTTCATTTTACCCGGTATCAGACAAATACTCCACCCAGCAAAGCGTAGTTGAGACACTAAATGTGTCTTACAGTTCATTCCACATTTTAATTTGCATGCTGTCTCTGGAAACTTAGCTTGTCCTGTTGGAAGTGCAGATTTTAGTAGGTGCCCAAGTCTGATTTTCATCCTTACCATTTCTCATGCAGTTATAGAGGGAAACTCTATGAGCTATTTCTAATACGCATGGAAAACACAAAAATGTTAACCTATAAGAAAAGCAAGGACACTGATCAAATGACAGTTTTAAAGCCCACGTTCCTGGAATGTACCTTTGAGTTAATTTTGAGGAAAAAATCATTTTATTTTTTTAAATCAATAAATAATATAGAAAGCCAGGCTTGGTGATGCACACCTTTAATCCCAGCACTTGACTGGCAGAGGCAGGTGGATCTCTGTGAGATCAAGGCCAGCATGGCGTGTGTAGTGAGTTCCAGGCCAACTGTGGCTACAGGGAGTCCTTGTATCAAAATAAAAGGAGAATGGGACTGGAGAGATGGCTCATTTGTTAAGAGACCCGGATGTTCTTGCAGAGGAGCCAGGATTGATTCCCAGCACCCACATGGCACAACCATCTGTAACTCTGGTTCCAGAGGACCT